TACACTAGGGGTTGATATATGCAACCATCTGGAACCCAAAGGTTTTTGTATGAACTCCCTATTCCGTGAAAGATGAAGAGCCACCAAAAATGTATTACCTGAGCTAACCAGTAGGGGTTTCTTCACCTTCGACATATTATAGAATGTCTATTTTATAGGGAGTGTATTTAGTATAGGTAAACTTTAGTTGTCATATATCTGGTACGATTTGTAAACACAGAATAAAATGCACAGTTCACAATATAAAATCCTATATGTAACGATATTGTAATAAACTTTCACATAACACACTTTGTAATTTAAAATGTATACTTAAACTTTATTTAATATATGTGTAATCTCCACTCAATGGCACAGCGATATGTCTGCGGACTTACAACGCTAGAAACCAGGTTTCGATACCCGTGATGGGCAGAGCACAGATAGCTCATTGTATAGCTTTGTGCTTAACTACAAACAAACAAATATGTGTAACCTGCAGAGTTAAATGTTCCTTAATGAAGCCTGAATAGTAATCGTTACACAATATGTCATCAAACTATCTATGTGTTACCCGTGGAATTAATAATATGCTATATGTGTATCCTTTAGAGTTAATCGCTATATAATCTTCATTGAACTTGTAGACCATTAAATAACTTACGTGTAACTTGTAAAGTTAATCTCCATATAATCTGCGTTTTACCTGAAAAGTAACCATTACATAATCTCCCTTGAAACTGTAAAGTTAACCGTTACATAAACTACATGTAACCAGAAAAGTAATTGTTACATGATCTACTAGTAGCCTATACAGTTAACCATTAAACAATTTACATGAAGCCTCTAGAGTTAATCGTCACCTTATCTTCGTGTAACCTATAGAGTTAACTGGCAAATAACCTACATGTTACTTGTAGAATCAAATGTTGCATAACTTACGTGTTACATGGAAACTAATCATTATATATTAAATCTGCGTGTAACTTACAGAGTAAACCATGCTTAATATTGTTCGAGCAACGTTTAGGAATAGATGTTACGTAATCTACGCGTGGCTTATAGATATAACCGTTGCATAATGTACGTGTAATCTGTAGAGTTAACCCTTACGCAATCTAGATGTATAAGGAGAATCTGAAGCCTTAACCGTCACACATATATATATATACATCCATATATACTTGTCTCTTGAATGAGTTTGTTACTTTTCAGGCAAACATGCTTTGATTGGCTGAAGCAGATAGAGTAATAACCAACAATGATGAAGATGTACTGGGTTATACTATCATACGTCTTTCAAAATCCTCTGATCAGCATAAAACATCTAAACGTCAAGAGATGCGTGCCTTATAAAGTTTTCCAACTCTTTGAAGCATTTAGAGCATTATTTCTCTAGATCTGTAAGCTAACAGTCAAAAGCTCTCTACCTTGTTTATGGCGCTACAACCGACCTGTGGACTTCTATTCATAAACGCTCAAAAAGATAATGTAATTTGATTTAGCAGCAAACGAAAGCACAAGTCTGTACTAGGCTAGAACCCTGTTTCCTTGTGCCCTCTTTCTCCATCATCCTATAGATGAAATGCTTTTGTCCTGTGGGGACCGTAGTAAGGGTCATATGACCCCTACTACAGAGTTGCTTGTGAAGTCTATTGTAAAGTCCGCGGTGCTCCCAGTAGGTAGTCAAGTGAGGACAAAAGAAGCTGATAACAGTTATGTGTTCACATTGCGCGCGCGGAATAAACTCGAACTCAGTGTGCTGCCTCTTCCCCACCCCTATATGTAGTAGTAGTATTTTATATATTGAGTTTAATATTTTGCTTCAAGACTTATATATACAAAAGCGCCCATAGAACCACGTCTCGGACATGCCAATAAAGACATTATTACCTATACATGTCATTGTCACCCTTCAATTTTCATCAAAAATTGTATATCTTCAGCTTAAGCAACCAGCAGTCGCAACACACTTAGTTTAGATGATAATCTCCGTTAGGCATTCACTGAGGGGAAGCTTACTGTTGCTATAATACTGGACACTTGTTCGTGTTCCTTCACCTGGCTTTAGGTGTTTCTCTACAAGCTACCTTCTTCATCAAAAACAGACATAGAAGGTTTCCACTATGATTTTTTCCCATTCTCAATCAAGTCTATCCCAAAACGAAGCAACTACAAGCCACATCTGTTCCGGAGAGAATTCAATGATCCTCGTAATATTCTACACTGAACTGAAATGCGTTTTATTTAAAGAAATAGATTAATGGGTTACAAGTCGCGAAAAACGTTTTACGCATTTATTTCTAAAGGATAGATTTTCGAGATCTTTGTCAGATCATATATAGCTCTTTTTTAATGCATTTTATTCAAACAATTTTTTGCGTTGTTAAACACAAAGCTAAAAAAGGAGCTATCTGTGTTCTGGCCACCGAGGGTATCGAAACCAGGTTTTTAGCGATATAAGTCCTCAACCTTACCACTAAACTACCGGGGGAAGGGGAGGCTATTCAAATCATAATTTCCTGTCTTTAAAAAAGCATTTTATATATGTACTAAAACATGAGTTTGAAAAACACTTCCTTTCCTCTAGAGCAATTATTTTTAAGATAGAGTTATTTTAAATTTAACACTATTATCATTTCTATGTTTTCGCGGCCAATACACAAAATTAAACTTACTCTAAAGATGCATTACGTTTTAAACTCCCTCTTGCGGTAACTGTATAAAATGGCGGAAAATATTGTATTATAATTAAACTATTCAATGCCACAGGATTCGTCCCAGTATAGGGAGAAAAGAAAAAAGAATAATGAGATGACACCGTCTCGTTCCAGCAGTCTCAGATTTGGAACCCATTCGATGGTGCAAGCTCATCTTCGAAACGATAATATGAATATTTACATCTGTTTATGAATGTCATTCGAATTATTGAAGAAAACATTCCACTCTCATCCCTTTTGATTTTATTCAGCGTCACACTCAGAAAACAAAGGATTTTATTTGTTTGGTTTGAAGCTAGACACAAAGCTACACAATGGGTTATCTGTGCTCTGCCCACCACGGGTATCGAAATCCGGTTTCTAGTCCGAAGATGTACCACTGTGCCACTGGGAGTTAAAACAGCGGAAATGCAGTTTTAAAAATATGTCAGATATTCAGGCGATAAATAAAATAATTGCTTCATTAAAACCAGCACGGAACACCATGTACCGAGATGAAAATGAAACACTGTTACTTGATGAAAACATGTTCTTAGCACCACTGCTGATCTGGCTTTTGATATTTTTTATATTTAGCATTTTGAATCTTGAATAGTTGTCACTTTCAATCTCAGGTAACTACGATCAGATTGTCACTATCTCAGAAAATTACAATTTAAACTAAAGTTCTGTAACTCGGTATATTATCTTCAATAATTCATGAGCGTGCAGTTAATATACCTGTTCTCGTCTTTAACATATAAACACGCACGTATGGAGGGGGGAGGGGGGAATTCGACCGAACATCCTATTTTTGTGATATAAAAAAAAATGATGCTTATATAACTATGGTATCTAACATTTTCTAAATAGTCTACATTCTTCTGGTGAAACATTAGCATTTTTTGGCTTGAAATAGTCGCTTGCCCCGGCCCTCCGAAGTATTGTCACGCTTTACATGCTGATTGTGCTCCGCACAATATGTGTTGGCTTTTGATCTCACATTTTAAGGCTAAGTGTATGAAAAGTAAAATCTCTGGCTATTTAAATCAGTAACAGGGAAGAATAACAAGAAAAGTTTTGCAAAGATGTACTAATAAACGATAAGATAGCTAACTACGTCGTTATAAGGTGATCAACGTAAAACACCATGGGACTCTATATATGTCGTTATAAGGTGATCAACGTAAAACACCATGAGACTCTATATACGTCGTTATAAGATGATCAACGTAAAACACCATGAGACTCTATATACGTCGTTATAAGATGATCAACGTAAAACACCATGAGACTCTATATACGTCGTTATAAGATGATCAACGTAAAACACCATGAGACTCTATATACGTCGTTATAAGGTGATCAACGTAAAACACCATGAGACTCTATATACGTCGTTATAAGATGATCAACGTAAAACACCATGAGACTCTATATACGTCGTTATAAATGATCAACGTAAAACACCATGAGACTCTATATACATCGTTATAAGATGATCAACGTAAAACACCATGAGACTCTATATACGTCGTTATAAGGTGATCAACGTAAAACAACATGATACTCTATATACGTCGTTATAGGGTGATCTACGTAAAATACTATGGGACTCTACATACATCATCAACGTAAAATACCATGGGACTCTAGATACGTTCGTTATAAGGTGATCAACGTAAAACACCATGAGACTCTATATACGTCGTTATAAGGTGATCAACGTAAAACACCATGATACTCTATATACGTCGTTATAAGGTGATCAACGTAAAACACCATGAGACTCTATATACGTCGTTATAAGATGATCAACGTAAAACACCATGAGACTCTATATACGTCGTTATAAGATGATCAACGTAAAACACCATGAGACTCTATATACGTCGTTATAAGATGATCAACGTAAAACACCATGAGACTCTATATACGTCGTTATAAGATGATCAACGTAAAACACCATGAGACTCTATATATGTCGTTATCAGGTAATCAACCTAAAACACCATTATATAACTATGGTATCTAACATTTTCTAAATAGTCTACATTCTTCTGGTGAAACATTATAAAGTTATAAAGTTCTGTAACTCAGTATATTATCTTCAATAATTCATGAGCGTGCAGTTAAGATACCTGTTCTCGTCGTTAACATATAAACACGCACGTACGCAGGAGGGAGGGGGGAATTCGACCGAACGTTTGAGGAGTGGAAAATGTTTAGCAAACGTTGGATCGAATAATCTGCAGCCCGGCATTCTATTATTAGGTTACACCTGGCCAAGTTTCAGTACAGTTAATGAAATCTGTATTGTACACTCTCTACACATACGTATGCGACAATTATACGAAAAACTTTAGAAAGTAAAGTTGAAAATAACTCCATTATATGCTGTTACGATTCAATTGCAAATAAAATGAAATATAATATTTATTACGATTGTGTAACGCCTGGAATCTCGAACGCTAAAAAACTCGACTTGTTTGGTTAGAGTACTTGCCCGCGAAACTAGAGCGTCTATCTGAATTACCCACGATCCGTTTTCTTCCTTCTTCAGAAGGCAGCACATATTAACACCGTGTTAACATGGTTTTAGTAAAATTCAAGTAAATTACCTGTTGTATCGATAATGTTCATAAAACATGAATTTTACATATACCATGCCAAGAAAGCTTCTGCCCAGGTTGACAATCCATGAAGCGTTCAAGGTAACGTTTATGCAGTTCACTTATCTAGACAACTGCGGGAACTCTAAGTAAAGTATGTACAAATATCGGCTAGTCATAATAACCAGTAAAAGTTTATGAAAATAAAACATTTTTTAGACCTTATCTTTGAACTTCTTAGGAGTTTTTTCCGTAGAGATTAGTGACATAAAACCTCGTAAATTTCTGTAATGTAGTATTAAAGGAACGTTCCTTTGTGATTCTATATAACTCACGTTTACCAACAAACTGTCATGGTGAAGGTGTATGTACGTAAAACTACAAAGAAAATAAATAGGCCATCTTACTTCCAAACAAAATAACGTCAAATAGCTGTTATTTTCAAAGCATTTCTTTGCTGTATAAGTTATTTTAAATTATTTTGTAGTTTTATCTATATGTTTGCCTATTTCTCATTACAAATTTTAACATCATAAAAGTCACATCTGTAATGCAGGAAGTTATGAATAATACAAAGTAAATTGTGACCCTTTTATTCTGTAACAAAATCCCGAAAGACCAGATAATACGCAGAAACTGTTTACAGGAAGAAGGGGATTTACCATGGTCGCGATACCAAAACTGAAGATATCAAACAAATCGTAGGAATCTGAATCACGTAACCGCGTAAAATGTTTACAGCACTCTTTCAAACCAAACTTGCGCTTACATAATCGATTATGGGTTTTTTTTGTAATTAAGCACAAAGCTACATATTGGGTTATCTTTGCTCTGCCCACCACGGGTATCGAACTCTGGTTTCTAACGTTGTAAATCCGCAGACATACTGCTGTGCCACTGGAGAGCGTCCATCGATTATGCAAGAGCTGTTGTGATGTCTATAGCCAACGAAAACATACAGTATCTTCAGATTCATACATAAAGGTACAAATATACCTTTATTACTGTATCAAGCCTGAGATTCTTACATGCAGGAGGAAATATACTCTAATTACTGTATCAAGCCTGTGATTTTTCACAGATTGAATAAAACATATTAATATTGCCGAAACGATGCAGAAATAAACAAAATGTGGCCACAATGTCATAGGAATGGCTCAAGCAGGCAGAACTGGTTTTTCTTCAACTTACATATAAAAGTTTCATATGAAGACGCATTAAAAAAAGTGTACAGCATATATTACCTGTATTTAGTACGCTCATTTAAGTCTTGAGCATTAGACGAAGGCCTCTGAATACAATATATAATAAATTCACGTATTTTGGATTTTGTTCTTTATTTCACTAGTGTTGGTTGTATTACCGATTTGAAAATCAACCTCTAGTCTTTTTTCAAGCCCAGACAGGTCCACCTGGTGGTAGTTCCTTGAAACACAAGTGTATATCTATTATTATAGGAATACTTTGTGGATTTTTGTTTTAGGCTAAAGTATCATCGTCTAACGCCAAACATATCCAGTTATTCATTGTTATAAAAATTATGTAAATTTTAAGTTATCTTCTATGAGAGTTGGAAATTTTCAAAGTAGAGATGCAGTGAAAGGAATTGTGTTTGAATGAAACTTGACATTCTTCAGGCCGGAACACTATTTATGTAAGCCATTTGTTACAACAACAATTGGTATGGTGTGAACACCTTTACCAAGCTGGCGAAGCATGGTTATAATTAATTATAATCACACTAACTTAACCCTTTTTAACTTTAATTCTCACTGCGTTTTGGTTACTAAACCTATCGCCTCAAGTGTATAGTCCTGAGAAGAACTATTGTGGAATTCGATTCCAGAAACTTCGAGACAGCAAGGGGAAGTTTGATTTTTTGGACTGGGTCAATGCCACATTTTGGTAATTGTTAACTTTATTGCTTCGACTAGGGAACACAAATATAAATTTTGGTAGGGTAGGAGTCATCTTCAGCTAAGACAGTTTTATTTTTCTAACAGGGAGGATGGCCTTTGGAATGGATTGTCTTCGGATGTTGTGGAAGCAGTAAATTTAACTGAGTTTAATAGAAAGCTTGATAAGTATATGAACGATAAGTGCTGGCTTTAATATTATTTTAAAATTTATTTATTAATAGTTGTAGTTTAGTTTAGAAGATAGAAAAGCCGAGATTGACCAATAGGTCCCATGTTGTTCCAAAACGTTATGGTATGTTAAAAGTCTCTTGACAAGGCATCATTGGAGGTCTTCTTTAATTTTCCTTTTCTTCAGATGTTACCACTGACCTGTTGTTTTGGTATTTTCCCAAGAATCACTCAAAACTATAATTCATTTATACTGAATGTAAACAAAATGTCCAACTACAAGAACTTAAAAATTGACCAATTGATGATGAAACAGCTCCAATGTTAGAAACGATTGCGGAATGAGACAACTAAATTTGTGAACCTGTGGTAAACCATATATATACATATATATATATATCCATAGTGCAAGCTAACTTGTATGGCTATTAATGATACTACTACCTTTATATTATTTTGTAGGATAACATTCTCCCTACCTCCCCTCTTTTTTAAATATTTTAAGCGCTTCTTTCACTTTTTCAGTTAAATTACTAAAAATAAAACGATGGCTAGACTAAGCCAAACGTGAAACTTCTGTACAAATTTTCTTTGAAAACGCTTCAGCTGTTGTAATAGTAATTCAGATGGCGGGAAAATTTCATCAGAAAATTATAACTTCTTAGAGGCATAAAAATGTTGTAAGTCCTGTCCAAAATTCTCTCCTCAGTAGTAGTTAGAATGTGGCTTAAAACACTATGAATGACACGTTGGTCTCAGCTGTAGTTAAAACGTGACTAAAAACATTGTAACGACAACCTATATTACTAAGACACAAGGTAATGTGTCGTGGACAAAAATATAGCAACTGAAAGATATGAACTCAAAGTTATTGAAGTATTGAAGAAACCCACATGGAATTATAATATATATAATCTCCAAATTTAATGTGTGCTTGATACTAATTATTCCAAACTATATCTGAGTATCATATTTATGTCCATTGTGTTTTTGGCTGTAGAAAAAAAAAAGGTATTGTCAAAACAAAAACAAAAAATAATTGCGACAGAAAGATGTGAAATCTCAAAATGAGAAAATTTTGGTGAATAAATTTTTTTTATGCAAACTGTTTTCACTAAGTATTCAAAATTTAAATCAAAAATTGTAGAGTATGTATATTTACTGCAAAATATCACACGAAATGCTGTTTTTTGTCGGTGCATAGCTAAACGTAAAACAGCAGCCCATGTGATTTCTTGTAGTAGATATGTTATTACACTGTGAATGTTAGAATGTGGTGATACGGAATATCCATTTAAATGTAATTAGAATTGTATTTGATGAATGCTTATCAATAATTTAAAAACTTTTTTTCCCCTGGGCCCGGCATGGCCAGGTGGTTGGGGCATTTCTCTCGCAATCTGGGAGTCGCGGCTTCGAATCCACGTCCCACCAAACATACTCGCCGTTTCAAACGTGGGGGTTTTATAATGTGACGGTCAATCCCAATATTCGTTAGTAATGGAGTAGCCCAAGAGTTGGCGGTGGGTGGTGATGACTAGCTACCTTCTCTTTAGTCTTTCATTGCTAAATTAGGGACGGCTAGCGCATATAACCCTTGTGTAGCTTTCCGCGAAATTCAAGACAAAACATTCCCCCCCTGTTCATATAAGTATAAATCGAACTACATCCATTTAGATTTAGTTTACTCACGTGTGTTGTCGTAATCGTAATATAATTGTTATTTCCTGTTTATTCCGAGTTATATGTTATTCTTTAATTGTATCATAGAAGATGCGATTGTATTTTATTTGTGTTTGTTATCTCCCTCGCTGATATTTTCTTTCACATACGGAATTATACTTTCCTAAAACCATAAAATATTGCTACTATCATTCATGAACAAAATTGCCTTTTCATATTTTGTAAAAAAAAAAAAAAATTGAAAGAATCATTTAAAAATTCAATACCAGTGGACTGCATTAAAGTTTTCAAAAAGACTGTTGAAATATTCTTTTATTTTATAATTTTCTTGAATCCAAAGTTCGATTAAAATCCTAAAAAGTACACTATATGTCCAGAAACAAAACGCGTCCCAGTAGTACAGCGGTAATTCTGAACGCTTTCTTACGCTAAAAATCGGGTTTCAATACCTATAGTAAGTACAGCACAGATAGCCTATTGTGTAGCTTTTTGCCTAACTAATAACAAACAGAAACAAAAAGAATATCTTAACAGTTAAATTAACTTAAAATCGCTCTGCACGTCGTATTTTAGAAGGATAATTAAAGCGTCTTGTTAAAGATTTACCTGAAAAGGTTACATATCTTGCTTACAAACTCTTAAACCATATAAAAGATCAGAAGCGTAGTAACATAATTCATCTTGTTTATACATTTAAATAAACTTCATAACTTGCTATCGATTTTGTAAAAGATCAGAAGCGTAGTAACATAATTCATCTTGTTTATACATTTAAATAAACTTCATAACCTACCATAGATTTTGTAAAAGATCAGAAGCATAGTAACATAATTCATCTTGTTTATACGTTTAAATAAACTTCATAACCTACCATAGATTTTGTAAAAGATCAGAAACGTAGTAACATAATTCATCTTGTTTATACATTTAAATAAACTTCATAACCTACCATCGATTTTGTAAAAGATCAGAAGCGTAGTAACATAATTCATCTTGTTTATACATTTAAATAAACTTCATAACTTATTATCGATTTTGTAAAAGATCAGAAGCGTAGTAACATAATTCATCTTGTTTATACATTTAAATAAACTTCATAACCTACCATAGATTTTGTAAAAGATCAGAAGCGTAGTAACATAATTCATCTTCTTTATACATTTAAATAAACTTCATAACCTACCATAGATTTTGTAAAAGGTCAGAAACGTAGTAACATAATGCATCTTGTTTATACATTTGAATAAACTTCATAATTTACCATCGATTTTGTAAACTTTCATGCATATTGTTCGTTTTAGTTATATATTAACTACAACTAGGAAAATAATTGTGGAAAAAAATTTTGATTTTTTATTCCACGTAAGAAATTATGGTCGGCGAGGTTCTTTATGGAAATATCTGGCTCAGCTTATTCTAGCTGCCCTGTTATTTTTAACTCTAATTCCATTTTTTAGTAGTTTAACCTAATCTTAAAAACTTAAAAAACATAATGAAGGAGTTGTTACCCTGCCAAAAAAATAAAGTAGGCATTTTTAATAATGAAACTTACTTTTTCGATTTCTTTATTTGTAACTTCGGTTTATAATCAGTACACAATAGAATATAATTTTGAGTTTTGTGATTACAAAGTATTTGAAGTTTGATCAACAGGTTCTTTATTCAAGTTTTACTTTAAAAAGTTTTGACACTATTAATTTAATATTTCAAAATTCAAAAATAATAGAAGGTATTCTTAAAAATGCATATAAAAAGTTTGTAAAAAATATCCTATTTTATGTTTAATTAATCATCTTAGAATACAACTAATGGTATCTTGTGGATTCGTTCTGTATAAACAAAATTGTCAGTTTTATTCGAGACTCCACAACGGTCGAACTATCACAGTACATGTTCTTTGAGAAAAAGGGTACAGAAAATATTTACTGAAATAATCACTATATAATATAACGTTTATTGAACGGGGGGAGGGGAAGTGTGATTCATAGTTTCTTTGGTAGTATACGTCCCACTAGGATATCTAAATGATGCCAGCACATGAGGGCTTGAACGGGAGAGGATATCAAAGGGTACCGCCCAGTGGGAGCCTTTGCTTTGAGGCTGTAACGTCAAGTGATCAGTGACATCATAGGCGTTAGTTATAGAGAGTGTCGCCATTAGTGGGTAGTACCATGGTGTGAATAGTTTCACAAAAGTGCTTCCAGAGGAATATTTAGTTCCATGAAGTACTATCAGAGGGCGATGGTGTGACCAAGATGTTGTATTACAACATGTTGACACATTCCAGTCTACAAATAGGTCTTATTGAACTTTGACCTTAACTGCACAAATTTCTGATACGTCATAATTTGTCTTCAATATCCAATTATTCAATAATAATATAAAAAACTTCTGAATACGTAAAACTAATATTTTTGTGTTTAACAATTTCATTACATGGATAGCTTTACTTTATGGTTTACACATATAATATATATATGTGTGTATTAGTTTAACTGACAATCTACTTAGTTTGAAGACGACAGTTTTTTCTATTAACTTAAAATCTTTAAAATCCAGATATGTATCGTACACATCACACTAACTAACGATAATAGATTACAGTTTGACTTCACGATTTACACATACAGAATTATTCAATACACTATCTTACAAGTAAAGACAAAAATAACTAACCCTATAACTTTTCAAAAAGTGAACCTTTCATCGTAAAGGGCAAACTAGTAAAGTGGAGAGTGAGAAAAGGTGAAGTGACGGCATGGTCAACCACCATGACAAACCGGAAGTGTTTGATTAGTTTTCAAAGGATTGTTGCAGGTGTGATACATTTCCGTTGTGCAATATGACAAAAAACTATATACAGAAATTAGAAAACTTCTCTTTAACACAAGGAAAAATTTCGAGGGATGCTACACTAAGTATTGATAAAATAAAATAAAGATGTAATACGACAATGAATTAACAAGAACATGTTAAACAGTTAGAATTACGTAAGACAGGAAATAACTACATTTTATAAATAGATACTCCTGAAAGTACAGTTTTTCATATTAACATAAAGTATTCAAACTCTAGATATTTATCCTATGCATTAAACTAATTCAACACAATACAATGAAACTTCTATAAACCAGTCCTCCTGTAAACCTTGATATCAGCCAAGTACCGGCCTATCTGCTATAATTCTAATGTTTGTTTGTTGTTAAGCTCAAAACTACACAGTGGGCTACCTATACTTTGCCCATCGTGGGTATCGATAATTCCTATATATTACAGACCTCACAATATTGGCCACCCCTCTTTATTTTTAAGAAATTACATATGCTGCTGTTTTTTGTCGGTAGGTAGCTAAACATTAAACAACGTCCCATGTGATTTCTTGTAGTAGATATGATATAATGTACTAATTTTGTAAAATCATCAATATTTTCTCATTTGGGCAACATACTTTGATTTCACGTCTTTCTGTCGCAACACCTTTTTTTTTTTTTTTACAGCTATGCTGGTTTTGATTAGATACATTTAAAAATATAGGCCAAAGATAGCATAGTAATCAAGAAAAATTAACGCTTTAACTAGGACTGACTGTTTTCTTCATCATTTAGGTATTTGACTTTTTTTTAAGGGCGTTAATCAGGAAAGACGCTTGAGTGTTATAAGCAAGACTACGTGTACTTCCGCAAGGTTCCCGAAAGTGTTCTGTTTCAAGAGCAAATAAAACCAAAATTAAGAGTAACAAATATTTTTATTTCTTGCTTTTGAAGCTCATATGTCATGCCGTGTTGTAGCCTACAAGGTGCATAACTCTTCTCGTGATTCATGGCATGTGCACGTGTTACTGACGTCACGACAGTACAAACTGCAACGTTAAGCGTTCCTTACATGACATCATTTTAATATCTACTGACTGACAGACATCACTAGTGTGGTGCCAGTGGTTTAAACAGGTGACCCCCTACAGGCGGCCTTCGGCCCCCTTTTGTGGAAATAATTTCACAATTAATGTTGCCAATATTCAACACTTAACCCTGTAAGGTAGGGATATTTAGCTCAATAGATTTCAAGTATTCAGCTCCCTCTGATTGATAAATATGGACTTTAATTAAGTGAAGCACAAAAGAATATACTTCGGTGTTCACTCACTCTGTTTAGCTACAGTTAGTTGTAGGAAGTTCACGAAGGACAACAGAAGTAGATTAAGAAAGAGATGGCACATTTCAACAAGTTCTTACCATGCATCAAAAATAGATTTAAAGAAAACAGTCGTGTACATTTTTTACACACAAGTATGTCAGCGATATCAGATCTTAGAAAGAGATAAGATAAAATAATAAATCACATAAATTTTAAAATATTACTGATTTTCAGTATTAAATTGAATTATATGTTCCATGATATATTTAAGGAACTGCCTGTATTTCATTGTAATCAAGGTAAAATGTATTGTTTTCTTTTATTGTCTTCTCGGTACAAAGCTACACAATGGGCTATCTGCAATCTTTCCACCGCAGCGAATTGAACCCCGGATTTTAGCGTTGTAAAATCCATTTAATAAACTATATATGATCAAATCTAATATGTGTCGTCGTTGTTTAACAACATTATTCTGAAATAATTCAAGTTTCAGCTTAGGAAACCTACCAGCTTTTAATTCCTTCTTCATAAGATCGTGCACATCATACAAGATGTGACTGAATTATATGCATATCACAATAAGCTGGCAATGGTGAAAATTATATGTTAAACTGGTAATAGTACACTTACTATGTCGAGAAAGTTTCTGCTCAGGCCCATGTTCCGCGAAGCGTTCAGGGCAAAGTTTGCACAGTTCCCACGATTCGGAAACAGGAATTACATCTACCAGGTACAGCAGGAAAAAATCAGATCTTTAAGTTTAATAGCAGGTACTTTTACAATAACATGTTAATGTTAAATAAACAATATAATATTACAACCAAATACCCTGTCTATTAATACTTTTCCTTATGAAGTAAAACCTGAGAACAGACTAGATTCGAACCCGTGATTCTATAAATCAAACGGATGCCGTAAAATAATTAACACCACCTCCGTAAGGTTCCTCTACCTGGGTTACCATAGCTAGTGTTTG